TTTGCTTTACCACACGATATGGGCCATGATATTTCAAAACAAGTTTTGGTGACAATCCGGGGTTTGTGGCAGGCGGCCAAAGTTATACTAGCGAGCCGGGGTCATAAGATGCATGGGCGACGGCAGGATCCTGGTGGTGGTTCTGACGTTGCTGGCGTCAACATGCGGGCGAGCTTGCATCACGCTTTTGCAGGAGCAGCTTCAGGCAGGCGTGTATGTTCCGTGGCGTCAGCGCTATATGAAAGAATAGCGTTCATTGTGGACGATGGCTCATGTCTATCAAGTAGAAAAAAGGGGGAAAAGCCTGTGGTGGCCTGCGTGGCAGTAATATAGGCACATGTGACAAGTTTGAGCACATGCTCCCAATTGGTGTGGTGTGACACGACATACATGGCCAACAGGTCGCAAATAGTTCGATTGAAGCGCTCCGTCATTCTATTAGTCTGTGGGTGATATGCAGTTGTGGTACAGTGAATTACATAACATTCTTCGTCGAGAGATTGAAGGACGTCAGAGAAAAACACTCAGGCTCATCCACTTATTAATTCCCTTTTGGCGCCATGGCGCAGGATGATGTGGCACAGGATAAATGAGGAAACGTCACGTGCAGTAGCACTAGGTAAAAGTGAAGTTTCTGCATAACGTGTCAGTTGGTTGATGGCCGCGATCACTCATCAGTTGCGTTGGGGGTGCTCGTTAAATAAGCATAAAGATCGATTCCTACACGATCAAATACATGGGTTGGGCAAGGCAGAGATTGTATTGAGGCAGTTGAACGGTGAGGAAGTTCCTTGCGACGTTGACACGTGAGACAGGAGCGTAAATAGTGACAGACGAAGTGACACATACCGCGCCACTAATAGCGAAGGCATAGGTTTTTCAAAGTATTAGGTACATCTGCATGCGTGCACTGTATAGTATAGGCCATCGTGAAACGCTGCACAAATGTCCGAGCGGAGATGCCGAGGAACGACGAGCAATCATTTTGGCCGTAAGGTAATTGCGGTGGTATAAAAGTCCATCCTGGACGGAGAAGTGTTGTGCTTGGCGACGCAATGCCCAGCTGGCAGGAGGCGTTAATGGCGTTTGCAGAATGTTGAACATAGAAACAATCCATGGGTTCTTCTTCTGCTCCAGAACTATGTTGGTAGCAGATAGAAAGAACTCGGCTGGCGGAGTATTAGGTGAATCCGTCTCACCTTGTGGGGAGCGAGACAATGCATCTGCGTCGGAGTGTTTTCTGCCGGAATAGAGAGCACGCGAATGTTGTATTCTTGGAGCCGAAGCACTCATCAAGTGAGACTACCTGAAGGCTCTGAAGAAAGCCAGTATAAAGAATGGCGGTCCGTTATTACGTAGAATGGGCGGCCATAGAGGTATGGTCAGAATTTAGTTATGACCCAAATTATTACCAAACACTCCTTATTTGTGACAGAATAGTTTATTTCAGCCTTCGTAAGAGCGCGATGGTGAAAGCGACAACGTACTGATCGAAGACGGGCATTTGTTCAGCAAAGAAGGCACCATGGCCCACACCACTGGCGTCCGTGTGTATTTCTGTCGGTGCACTTGGGTCGAAATACCGCAGGATCGGAGGAGAGGTGAGAAGAAAAAGCAGTGTTGTGAACGCGGCATCGCAATCTGGTGACCAGGTCGAAAGAATGTGGTCAGCACGAAGAAGGTGTGCCAAAGGGACTAGGATGGTGGTGAAGTGGCGTATGAAGCGTCGAAAGTATGACCATAACCCGACAAAGCTGTGGGGTTGTTTCAGGGTTTAAGTTTGTGGGAAATCAGCGAGAGCTTGTAGTTTCAATCGATCAGGGAGTGCTCCGTCTTTTGTCATGGCATGGCTATAGGATGACCAGCTGCCGAGCAGTAAAGTGACATTTCTTCACATTGCACTCGAGGCCGGCGTGTGCGATTCTTGTTTGGGCGCGTTCAAGTCGAAGTAGGTGAGAAAGTCTGTTGAAAAAATCACGATATCATCAGGTAACAAAGACCGGTTTGCCACTTCAGCCCCTGCAGGATGTAATCCATCATTCTTTCAAGTGTGGCAGCTGCATTGCATAGGCCGAAGGTACTGACGGTAAACTCATATAGCCCATCTGTGGTGACGAAGGTAGTCTTGGGGGGGTCTGCTTCAACAATAGGAACCTGCCAGTAGCCGGATTTTAAATCAAGGGACGATGAAAATTCTCCGCCTTGGAGGCAATCTGGTGCGTCGTCAAAACGAGTAAGCGGGTATACATCTTTGCGGGTTATATTGTTCAGACGACTGTAGTGCACGCAAAAGCGAATGATGGCATCTTTCTTTTTTTTTACGAACACTATACTGGAGAGGGTCAGGGACTGCCGAGGGACGAAAAAAAATTCTGCGCCTTCGAGGCAGTCAGGCGCGTCCTCTATACAAGGAAGCGGGTAAACATCCTTACGGCTCTCTTTTCTACAAACGCTGCAGAAGAGGCTCAGGGATTGTACGAAGGTTGTATAACTCCTCGTTTGAGCATGTCTTCTTCGTGCTCGTCGATTACTCGGTGCTCGATTGCAGACGCTCAATGGCTGTTGACGCAATGGCGCGTGGTCTCCGGGGTAGATAGGGTGAACAACAGTGGAAGTGCGGCTTTAGTGACCTTGCGAAGGTGGAATAACGTACGAAAGCGGTCGAGGAGCGCGACTAGCTGAGTATGCCGGTTGGGTGTGAGGTTGGGGTCAATGCATCTAGAAAGGGGTAGGTCAAATGACGGCTGCGCAGTAAGAACATCAACGTCCATAGCGTCAACCTGTAGTGGAGTGGAGTCATCAGGCCCATGATAGACAAAACGTGGATCAAGGTCATCAGCATGACCAAGGCACCAAGGCATAGCTAGGGTTGACAGGGCATGGGGACATGTTGGAAACAAGAAGTGCGCTGACATCCTGTAGGGTAGTGAGGAGGGCAAAAGGAATTAGCAAGTGGTGACGGTGAGTAGCAAGCTTAGACGGCTTGAAAAGAACGGTATGTTCGGAAAACGCAGCGGAAGAGATAGAATCAGAAGTGAATGAAAAAGGTGGAATGGTAATGACCGTGGCCACCAACGCTCGACTAGAAGCGGCCGAGAAATGATCTGAAATGCTGCCTAATGGAGACAGCGAAAGTTCTTCGCGGGTTCAATCGATAATGGCACGATGGGGTTACAGGAAGTCCCATTCCAATATTAGGGCATGAGAACATCAAGACAGAATTATGAACTCAGTGTGGTAAAGAATGCCGTCTATAAAACACGAAGAATTCGTTTTCTCAAGAGATCAATCGGCTCGGCTCTGGCTGTGCATTGCGGGACTGTTGAAAATGGCGTGGCGCATTAGCGGAGCTTAAAACGAAGCTGGTGTAAGATATCACTGATACCGCTTCCGCTGCTCCTGTATCGACAAGCGCATGAGCAGCATTATCTTCCACACAAACTACAATTACATCCGCAAGTAATAAATTAGGTCTTGAACATTCGTAGAGAGCACAGTTCTTGCTTCTGGAAGTGCGTTGTCAGGTTTCCTCAAGGGGAGCTTCACGTCGGCGGATGAGCGGCGACGGGGAACACCGACGAGGGGACGAAGACCGCCGTGTGCTGAAAGTTTGGGAAGCAGCAGGCCCGGCGTCAAAGTGCTGAGAGCCAGTATCAGAGCGGCAGACATAGTCTGGACCAGAGGTTTGTCGGCACACAGAGTCGGAAGACTACCATGAACGTCGGCGGCAAAACCGTGCTACGTCACAAGCGCAGCCGCATGAGAAACAGACGGGCCGAATGTCAGGGTTGCGCCACAGGTTGAAAACAGGGGCCGCAGGCGGAGCGACATATTGGCGTACCTGAGAGGAGGCTGCGATGGCGGGCACTAGGTTCTTGGTGTGTAGTTTGCAGCCGAGGGTACAAGTGAAGGAGGGAAGGTGGTCGTAGGTGCGTGCTTATGGCACTGTCGGAGAGGTTGATCTTGGCCTAGCAACTGCGGTAGCTTGAGTGAGAGGAGCTGTCAGGGGAGCCGGTTGATAAGCAAGAGGTACACTGTAAACACAACTAGCCAATTTGGTCATTTCAAGGGCGTGATATTACTTTAAGTCATACTTCTGCACCCATAGGGTGTAACAGAATAGCGTAATATGATTCCGCGACCTCAATTTTACTTCCTTAGGAAATAACGTGAATAATGGGCGGATAAAGAAGGTAAATTCACAATCTGACGTCATTCGTCACAAACGAGACCACCAAAAAACTCCCATTCCACCTCCTCTCGCATGTTTTATTTAAGTTTTTTCCGGAGCTCTCTGCAATTTGTCTTCAGTGCTGGCCGGCATGCATTCTGCTGTGCAAAGGGAAAAAGTGCGTTGTCACATGAAAGTACGAAGTTGTCAGAATGGTTAACAAATTCACAACGCGCTACTCAATTATTCATTTCTTCATACCGTCGTATGATATCCGTTGTACGGAATGCTGCAGAGGGCACACTTCAGACAGTTGTGTCCGGGTTCAACCACCCCTCCTACCACAGAATAACTTCTCCTATGTTGTTTTACCATCAAATCAATGTAATGCTAAAGGAAGAGCCTCCAGACCTTCGATGCGGCTGATCGGCACCGCATACACACTCAGTTTACCCTTTTGGATAACATATTGGGCAGGCGCGGCGTGCATCAACGCACGAAATAAAACCTGTGTTGAGGAGACCCGCAGAAAGCAAAAAAAAACAAAACAAAAAGAGGGAACTCTTCTCAAGCAACCGCTATGAAGTGAGAAAACATGCCCTTCGACCGATCTCTGCTTCGCCTTTTCAACAGCGACGGTACCACTGTAGCGACGGCAGCGCGCGAGAGAGGAAGCGACGCACGTAGAGAAAAAAAAAAAGAACACGCAAAAAAAGAGCCGTTTGAGTTGCGAAATGTCAGCGGAGATTAGGAGACAGCCCAGGCGACGTGTGTGATAGCGAAGCGAAGCCGTCATGGGATAACTTTCGCCCTCTGAGCGACACATTTGAGTTGCACGGCTATGAGTCGCGGTGTTGTGCGCGTGTTTCGTGCGGCGGCGTTACTTTGTTCTCGTCGCTGGACGTGAAGTTTGGTTTGACAACACTGCAACACGCCGCAATGCGAGTGCGATGGTGTGGCAATGACCCTGTGACTCAAGCGAGCATGCCAGCATGCCGCTGTGTACAACGAAGCAGCTTATAAGTGCGCCTTGTTCGCGGCGCAATCAGGAACACAAATGGTAGGTGTGAACAACGAAGCAGGTTATGAGCGCGCCTTGTTCGCGGCACAATCAGGAACACAAGTGGTAGGTGTGTACAACGAAGCAGCTTATGAGTGCGCCTTATTCGCTGCACAATCAAGAACACAAATGGTAGGTAATCTTATGTTTTCTATGTTCATGAATCCTTATTGTCGCTTGAGCAGCAGTAGGGGGCGTTTTGCACTTTGCGTTGCGTGAAAAGAGCAATAAAAGCAAAAAACAAAGTCAGTAAGCTCACATAACGATGGTTGGTGCGTATTTTGAAACTCGTGTGAATATCTAGGAAGCTTAGCGCAGCCAGCCAATTCAAGCGTGTGCACCTTAAATGAGGCAAGTTTGTGCGACATAATTTCTTTGGTTACGATAAAGCATGAATCAAACAGTGCTTTCAGGGAGTATATACTCAAGCAAAACAAACAAACAAACAACTGCTGTTATCGTGCTGCCTTGTGATGAAGTGTGCATTATGGCCATACTAGTTTTCTATTTATTCTCTCCTTATGCCCAGAATATGATCTAGTAAGAAGAATTTGCAATAACAATTTTGCATTGTTCACATGGAGTGCATCGTAGAGAAAAAAATATACATTGCATATCAAGGTACGGTAGCATCATAAGACTGCATTGATTTAGCTTGAAAGATAAATTATGTTGAAGAGACATAATCATGACCATATGATGTCACAGACATGTGGTTAGTAACACTCTGTTTTTGAGGAAGCACGTGCATTTCATGGTACTGTCACTTCGTTATCCACATATTAGCACTTGAACTTGTCACGAATAATGTGAATGTTCATAGCACTTAGAAGATGTGTCACTTGTACATGGCTAATTTAATTGCATTGACAACAGTCAGTTGAATCTGTTAAACTTTGTTATTTAGTCACCTTGATCTTTCTTAGTTATTTTGTTTACATCTGTTGCATAGTTATTGTGATCAATACATGGTATTCTGACTAATGAGACAATTGCTGGCAAGGTAGAAACTGTTGCTATAGTGTCTGACTCATATTTTGTCATCATTACAAGTATGCTGTTCATTTGTTCCATGAATCGAAAACGAGTCACCCAATCAGAGACCTAAACAGAATAGCAGTGGTTGTTCAACAACCTAGTGCTCCACGTGTTTCACTGCAAAAGGGTGTAATTGTTGCTGTGTAAGGTCGAAAAACCATCATATGATCATCAGTGACACTGTAGTAGGGCGGTACAAAAATTTTGACTACCTGAACCTCTATAATGTGCGCATAAATCTAAGGACAAGGGCCTGAAGCATATTTTCTTCATCGAGAATGGGTTTAATAACAACATGAATCTTACTCACATTTGCATCCCTTTATACTACAATGGTAACTACACTGAGATCAAAAACTGTTGGAGTAATAGCGCACAGGACGAGACTTCACTTGTGATGTTTTGAATTTCTTTATCATTATGTATTTTCACCCTCCGTACTTTTAAGTGAAAAGTTTACAAGGAACTACTTAAGAGCGTCTCAATTTTGCAGTTGTTTCATGTTTTGTTAGGTAGTCTGCAATGGTACTGTCAAGTGTGAGTCAATGGTAAAACATTGATTTTTATGCATACACGAAGCCTAATGGGCTTTTTGTAACCTTTTCAGGAAGACATTCATGGGAAAGCTGCAGGAGTTGCTCAACCATCTGTTTGTGTACAAGACAGTGTATTGTGAGAATACTCCCCTGTGCCTCACTGTACACCAACTTGAACATTTTGTACATCTTACATTTTTTGATAATACTCTCACTGTGCTTTGTGATAAACACAGAGTGCTATGCATGGCACTGCATAGAACCTGTCCAATAGCTTGCCCATTTAAAAATTTCGCTTTGTTAGAAACGACACTACATGAAACCGGCTTTATACAGCAAGTTTATTCCTAAGATGGACAGTTGGGTGAGTTGATGAGTAGTAAGAGTTGAAGAAAGAGTGTAAAAGAGGCCCATATTATAGTTAAATGAGAAAGTAATGCAGAGGACAATGCGCTACGAGAAAGGAAAGTGTGATGCCAACCACAAAAAGATACACAAACATAGTACGAAAAAAGTACAAGCTAAAAGTATCATGCAATCGTAGGATGAGTACAAACCTGGCTAAAGTAAGCATACATGCAATAAGCTTCAGCTTATAGTACTGTTCTCTTCATTTCTGTTTGTATGTTGGTTTGTTGCCACACTTTTTTTTACTCTGAACTGAAGTCCTAACTGCTTTATACTCTGTGTATATTTGTGGTCAAATTAGTTTCAACCTCACGCGTACCAAGCTCCAGAACAAAATATGCTAACCACCATCTGCTATATAAAGAAATTTTAAATCTTAGCCTTGTGATAGCCTAATTTCAAGTTCAATGCAGCCCAGGTACTTGGAATAATGTTAATGTGGTAATTATGCATAGGCCCATCAGTGAGGAATTAAAGACGAACTTTTTAGCTTGAAGATGATGTTGGTTAGCATAGAAATATTGTAAAGATATATGGACTAATTATGTGCAAATAAAGCATCGGTGTATTACAGCTGTGTGATAATGCCAACAAGTTCCCAAGCACAGGCAATTCCAGAAAATTACGTTATTTTCCACATATGTGTGAGTAAACGTGTGAAGCCATATACGAATGCCATGTTGTTATTTTGTTGGCATGACTGAGCATAGTTGGCACTCACGACTTGCTAGAATTCAACACTAAAAGACACACTGAAGCACAATTAAGACACACACGAGCGCGAACTAACAACTGTTTTTTCGATGAAAATATGACCAACATATGTAGGGTGAAAGGAAAGAAAAAAAGAAAGAGCGTAAGCCTGGGCCCTCCCCATCAAAAGAAAGCAACAATCTGTGCGACATGAAATCTGGCCTTGTTAACTATCTAAAATATCCATGTAAAAAGTATAGTCATCGTAGGACAAATGAATAGATGGTGCACAAACACATTTGTTTTCTCCAAGCGTGCGCATCATGAAAGCTTCAATGATTTCTCTTTCCTTTGTGTCTTTGTATCTTGACAAAATATTGGTGTTTTCAAAACTTGACTTACAATGGCACCGGGGTCACCGATGTGCTTGCAGTAGTAATCATGCTCCCTTAATTGTAAATCAAGACACCTACCAGTTTTCTCAACGTACCAATTTTCGCATGGCAAAGAAATACCATATACACCATTTTTTTTTCACATGGTACAAACTTGCTGACATGTTTGACAGAACATGTGTGGTTGTTCTTCAGGTTGTTGCCGTTTACTTGGTGACAAAGTGAAATTGACTTGTGAGGTGCTGTGAAGTCACGGGTATGCCATGCCTACTTGCAATTTTTTTCAGTCCGTGCGAAATGCTGTGTACGTAGGGCATAACAATAGGCCTCTATTTTGACTTCTTTTTTAATGCTACGTTCGTTTCTTACGTGTTGCCGACGGTTTTTAAGAGCCTCTCGGCCAAAGCATGAAGGCATCAGGGTAATCGCTGTTCCAGGGTTCATCAACTTGCTTCATCAAATTTCGTGCCACCATGTGGTCACACAATTTTTGGCAGCTATTAAATATGGATGCATACGCGACGTTTAAGTGTGTCTTTAAGTAGTTCAATTTGAGGGCGCCCTGAGTGTCAACCATGCACAAACTAGCCCCTACTCTCGCCCTTATGGATCAACACTTTTATAAATTTTGGTAAGTGGATGTACAACAAGCTCAACAGGTCTCATTTGAACTTTTCTGTAAAAAACTGGACTTTTGATCATATCACACACGTTTTTATGCCATAGGTCAAGCTAATGCAATAAAAAACTTCATATCTACCTGGATGGTTGCATATTTCATAAAAGTACCGCTAGTCTTATTGTACTAATTTGCTAACCAGCATGTGTAGACTGACACCAATTTTCTTGTACATCCCATTTCTTTAGATTATGCTTATATTCTTTAAATTGTGCACTGTGAAGTGCACATGTCACTGTGTGTATGATGAGATTTTTCGCTCTAGTTTCGTCGTGCTATACTACGGTGAATAATAAATGGTGCTTGGGCTGCGCCATGTATGTTTCTATTGTTTTGTTTTAGGTATAGGTATTGTATACAAATATGTAAATATACATGTGCTTACACTGACACGACAACTGATGCTGTTATGGTTCGAATAAAATATTTCAAACGCTGTATCGTTTGAGGTGTGCAATAGGAATTGATGAAATGGCTGGTGGCTCAACATTATGGCTTGTGCTTTTATTACCAACCAAGCAGAGCCAATGTTTTACTCTTCAGAATTATTGTGGAAAATAAATAGGTGACAGGCAAGCAGGCAGAACGTTTTCGCTCTGTTTATGCATACATTGGAGGTTCTTCTTCAATCGCAACATAACTGAAGTGGCATGTTGCATGATTGAAGTTTAACGTAATATGTATGTAACGACACAGTGGTACAATAAGTAGCATTTTCCCGTTTTTTGTGTATTTGCTACCCTCATCGGGGTTTCTGTATTATGGCTACGAAATTCTGAATGGCGAAGAAGCTAATCTGTCTTCTTCTGTGCGTATGGTATACTACCAATTGAAAAACAATTGTTTAATGAAGAGCAGCTCTTTCGCTGAGAAAGACTGTAACGCTGCGTTTGTTTTTATTTCGTGCTACTACATCTGTGCGACAGGAGTGCCAAGTACACGTGGTTGTTCACAAGGGTGAAGTTCTTGTGAAATAACTTCACTTTTTATCGGGAGACTTGTCAACTGCTAATTTGTGGTAGTTGTGCAGATATTGGGGCATGCCTTAGGCGTTGCTTTTAATTCATATGTCTAATATTTAAAAATAAAGGTTTATTGGTAAAATTCTGCGTGGTCAACTAGTACTAAATCAACTGAATATTGAGTTTGGGTTAGAGAAGCATTTTGTGGCGAGATGAAATACTAGTTGCGAATAAGTGCTAATTGCGGATATAGATTATCGTTCAGCTGCTCATAAGGCGGTGCTGCCGTTGCGTTTGACTTCCGACAGCACGCGTGCAGTAAAGGCATAAGGTTTAGGCGTGTTACAGAGTCCTTGTAACTTTGGCACCTGCATGTGCGTCCACACAAGGGGGGGAGGGGGCACCATCCCACGCAATCGCCTAGAGAGGGAGTCTGGAGTCCGCTTCGTACATTGACTTAGTAGAGAGAGTAGATGCTGCGAAAAACCTTCGCCTCTCCCCTCTCTCGCTGCATAAAAATCCTGTGCACGCTTATGAGCATCTCCTTGGGTAACTTTCATTTTTTATATGCTATGAGAAACGGCGGCGTTGGTGAACGTGCTGGTGGCAGACGAGAACGACAAACGATGGCACGCTCACTCTCAGCGGCTGCTCATAGTCAGTCGCGTCAGAATCTTGAAATGATAGAGATGTTGCTCAGTGTTTCATTCTCGTCTCTGAAGATTCTGTGCGGTGGCAGTACCAGACATCTATCTACAATGCGAATCTAGGAGGTCTCGAACAACTTAGAACACGCCGCTGCCATGGGACGCGTGCAGGTAGAGGCACAAATACCGAAAATAGCTGTACAGCATATGCCCATGGAAGGCACATTTGTTCAGCCATCTGTAGATAACTTTTGTCCGGGAGAATCCACAAATTCGGGCGAGTGAAGCACTGTCGGTGTATGGAGAAGTGCCCAAGTGAGCACACGTTTACCATTTTTCTAGCGGCACGAAACGACGATCTGAATAGTTCGAAGCCGAAGGCGTTTAAGCATGGCCGGCATGGCACCCTTCAGTTTAGGCAGTGGACTTGCACAAGCACTGACCACATTCCGCTGCTACAAGAACGAAAGTTTGAAATATCGCAGACGTGTTGGTAGCCGATTTGTACATAGAAATCTCCGTGATAAACCAGACAAGGTAGTGGTGGTGCTGTGGTATAAACGTTATCGTGTTTGCTTTCAGTGCGTGTGGTCACGAGTTTGATTCCTGTGTCGTGCGTACTTGTATGCAAATGTCATGTTTGTGCTTGAATGCTTAGATGTACGTTTTCTGGTGTGTCCCTGCGATGAATATTAGCAATAAATGTCTCCAAAACTGTAATTTTGTGCCTGACATAGTTTTTTTCTTGGTCGCGTATAAAGGGTGTTTTTAGGGCTCTTAAAAGAAGCAGAAAACTTCCGCTGCGCTCCATTCAAGCTCCCAAATTGAATTCGAAAGGACTGAAGTTACCTCCTAATCTGTCTCTTTCGACTTTTAATTACTTCATAATTAAACCTTGTTAGGCCTTCTGCCAACACAATTTGGCCGTGTATATCAAACATGGAGCTATTTTGTCGGTGATACACAGCAAGCGAAGCTTTATCAATTCATTCTAAATCAAATACGATCAATATCTGTCTATAAATGAGTTTAATTGATTGATATGTGGGGTTTAACGTCCCAAACCACCATATGAATATGAGAGACATTGTAGTGGAGGGCTCCGGAAATTTTGACCACATGGGGTTCTTTACCGTGCACCCAAATATGAGCACACGGGTCAACAATATTTCCGCCTCTATCGGAAATGCAGCCGCCTTAGCTGGGATGCGAACCCGCAACCTGCGGGTCAGCAGCCGAGTACCTTAGCCACTAGACCACCGTGGTGGGGCAATGAATGAGTTTAAGAAAGCAGGCTGACCGCTAAACACATTCGAAGTGAAAGGCTTTCTCATAAATAGGCGTCACCATCTTGTTCTACGTATCCCCTTAGCTCGGTGGTGTCCAAGCGAGGAAAACAAAACTCTCCTGATACCCTGCAAAAACACCGCAGACAAGGGGGTTAGTGAGTGAAAATCTTATTTTGAAAAGCGTTTCACTTATTACCCTTGGAGTTCACGCTGGAACACGAGCCAAAAACACCCCAAAAGGCTAAAACGTGTTTACAGGGTACGTCATCTGCCACTTGCTTCTGTATTACCTGCCGGATGTCATGAGTCAAGAGCGACTCAGGACGCTTGGGTGACTGGCAGAAGGAACAGCTGACCTGTGACTTCTTCTTGTACAAATTGCTTGACTTGGTGGAGGAGTGAATAGGGGGGGGGGGGCAGCCTTGAAACCGTTAGCGCCGAGAACATACCATTTGATATGAGATCTCGGTGCATATAAAAGTGTAGCTTACACAGTTCCTCTTAGGTTTGGCAAAGAGTTTCTACATAGTTCACCTTTTGAGGGTTCTTCACTAAGAGGATTTGGAAGACGCTTTCCTCCTATGCCCTTCATACTGATCTTTATCTTCTCGTCTTCGGTCATGTTAGAATTGATGCGACCAAAAAGGTCCACTACATCTTCAATGTAGCTGGTGACGTTTTCATTTCTCTGTTGAGCACGGGTGCGAAGCTGACGCTCTGCCCGAAGCTTGCGAACGGCAGAGCGTGCGAAATACATCTTTAAGTCTAGTCTTGAGTGCCGCCCAGGTAGAAAACATCGATTCATGATTGTGGAACCATGTATTGGCGACTCCAGAGAGATAGAAGCTGACGTAGCAGAGCTTATCTAGCGAAGCGTACCTGAACAGTAGACCACAAGCTTTGCATGGACAGTGTTTTTCGGCCCAGAGTTTTCAGGCATGGTAGGTGTGGAGGGAAGTGTCATGGCTTCGGAGTTCGAGGACTGGAAATACCCAGCAGCTACACTAAATGTCAAGAGGCATTCTAGCTCACAGAGTCGTCAGATGGTAAAGTACGGCAGTGAGAAGTAACGCACAGGAAGGCACGCTGAACAGAAGCTTTGTCAGCAACTCGTTGGCCTCTTCTTTTTAAGCCACAACCCCACTGCCCTTTGCTGTCCAGTACAGGAAATACAAGTACTTGGGCTATGTCCGCAAATTATCTATATGAAATTCTGGCACCACATTTTTCTTGTGTTTATTGTTCCTTGTCTTAGTTCAACCATATTTAGTTTCGTTGAGATATTTATCTGTCACCCCGCCTGCAGTGGTCTACTGGCTAAGGTACTCGGCTGCTGACCCGCAAGTTGCGGGGTCCAATCTCGGCTGCGGCGGCTGCAACTTCGATAGAGGCGAAACTGCTGTAGGCCCGTGTGGTTAGGTTTCGGCGCACGTCAACCGCTGGCGGTTCCAATTTACGGAGCCTTGCACTACGGCGTCTTCTCATAATCTTATCGTGGTTTTGGGACGTTGAACGCAACATATCAATCAAAATATTTACCTGTCACATTTGCTGATTCTCACAGAAGAAAGCGCTGCGGGTATTCCGCTTACGCCACCCTGCGCGGGATCTCATGAAGCCAAGCCCCAGAGCTCAACATCACCTCAAGGGAGACGTCGCAGTGGTCAAAAACGTACACCGATGGAGTTCGTGCCTCTAGTTTATTCAAAACAGCTTTCATCTGGACTTCTAATCTTCACCCAGCCTTGTTATGCTTTGGTTCATTGCTCCAGCGATGAATGCATTGTCGTCAAAGGATTGCCCAATGAACACTTCTCATTACTTAAATGTAATTTTAGCCCATATTGGGCTGTTGGCTTTGTTGCAGTAGTTATTAGTATTTTTCATACGCCGTCACAACTCGCATAGAGCATACCTTTTGAGGCTCAATAAGTGCACTTCGGATTCACCAGTTTTTGATATTTGCAATATGGTGCGCATAATTCTTGGTCAGTGACCACGTTCCACTTCAGCATAAAAATCACATTATTGGAACTTTCAGTGTGTAAGTTCATTTCAGAAAATAAATATCTCATACTTGTACAGTAAGGCAAGTTGGTGAGAAACATTTCAACTTCTTTGGCACAAATTCACGTCGGCGCGAAGACTACGTGTGCTTCTTGACGAACACTTCTAGCATGCGTCAAGCGGTTTCCTTAAAGCCAGTAAACCATTGCTACCTTTTGATTCCTGCGATTCTAAATTGGTAAAGAGGTCTATTGCCACTACGTACTTTACTAATGCCCTAAAGAAGTCTTGTCGCCACTTAATTTCAGAGAGCTTCAGTAAACAACTTGAACGCCTTAAGGCAGCAGCTTATCCATCACATCTGTTAATTTCTGTCGCAGAATCTATTTTAAAAAAGCTAAAGCATACCCAGGGCCGGCTATCGTTATCGGAGTGCAACAGAAATAAAAAGTGTACCGTTGTGCCGTATATGCATGGGATCGCACACAATTTGAAAAAGATAGGGAAGCATGCCAACGTCAGAGTGCTGTTCTCTGCGCCGATAAAGCTGTTGTCCATATGTGCGCAAGTGAATAAACCCGCAAGAGTGCCGCAGCTCTGCGCAGTAAATCATAAATTTAGCTACATACTTTGCGCGGAAAATGTAGTTTATTCGATCCCGCTGTCCTGTGGAAGGATATACGTGGGCCAAACAGGAAGGTGCGTAAACACAAGATTGAAGGAGCACGAGTACAACGTGAAAAATACTATTAGCGGCCACCTTGGCATCCATTGTAGGGATTGTGGGTGCACACCGCAGTTTCGCGACACTAAAATCCTAGCCAGGCACAAAGAAAGAAAAACTAGGGAGATAATGGAAGCGGCTGAAATTGCACGTCTGAAAGATCAATGTGTAAGTAGGGCATCTGTAACCCTCTCTCAAAAAGAGATGGACTTCTTATCTGTAGGATGAACACGTGTGCGGTGAGACAGTAGCGATATGGTGATGGTGACGCTTGTGCGAATTTTTTGATATTGTGGTGGACACGTGTTATTTGCCTGCCATGATATATATTTGTTCGCATTTCCTAATAAAGATCAGTTGTAAGTCAGCGCTCTGTCCTGTCTCTTCCTTTCTTCCTGCCGTTGTTTGCGCTGTGTTTTTAATCAGGTTTCCTTAAAACTGAATTATGTATTCAATGAAAAGCAATAATAGATTGGGAGCAGCTAGAGTGACAATGCATAAAATAGACCCGAAAAATACCCCACCTTCACAAAGGGTGCGAATGCGAATGAATTGCGTAGCGTCCACGATGGCGCTTCGCATGGGAGAACCCAACGTTAAAAGAATAACGTTTTCGTTTTGTTGAACACTTTGTAGCCAATAGCGCCGAACGCCGCACATGGCGCTTTTCTGCCGCGAGAAACGTCGTATTCGTTTTCAGCTCTATTAGCAAGTGTGCACAGCACACGCCCCCGCAGCTGTTGCTATGGAAGATGGAGTAAGAGCGGAGAGATAACATCTGCCGGCACGCGGACACCACTGCGGACAACAACGGATGCCTTACATACTCAACTAAGTATTGCATGCGCATTTAAAAATGCGGCATATTTTCAACTTGACTGGTTTGGCGGGACAGCGCGCAACTCGGAACTGCTGCTATAAATCTGCTGCGCGTATCCCTGTTGGAAATCCTGGGTTGATGGATGCTGGAATCGTTGGTTCATATGGTGGAAAGAATGGCGGCTATGGTAGAAATATTCGTGGATATGGTGGACACAGTAGTGGGCATAATGGATGATGACGACGAGAGTGGTAAAAATGATGGCAGATGGTGGTGGTGGTGGCGAGTCAATGGTGGTGATGGTGGAAAAGGCCGGCTGATGACGGCTAGAGTGTAAAAAATGGTGGCAGATGATGGTGGAGGTGGTAGTGAGCCAATGGTGGTGACGGTAAAAAGTGCCGGTTGATGGTGGCGAGGAAAAACGTGTTTGGTGGAGGACTTGGTGAGCAAGGTGGATGACGGTTTTGTGATGGAAGGTTAGTGGATGATGGTGGCATGATGAAAAAGCACATTACAGTATGTGAAATCACTTATTTGTAGTGTTTCATTCTTGAATGCGCATAGATATATCTTTGCGGCAAAAAAAAACCAACGCTGCTGATTACACTTTCTAGCACGTTTTTTTTATTTGTGTGGTGTCAACAACGCTTCAATTTTCGTGGAGCGTAGAATATGCGGCCGTGAATTAGTTTACATTTTGCGCACGTACTTACTTCAGTTTCACATGCACGATATGTTTCTTTGTTGTAATGTTTAGAAGACTAAACGTGTCACTGCGAACAGTGACAATAAATATTTACATCGGCATGCAGTTGTCGAGGAATAATCGAGCTCCGATTCGCAATTGCCCGTTTCAATGGAAGAGCAGAACGCAACTGTC